TTTTTAAATCTGGCTGTTATTATGAAGACACTCACTAATGACTCTAGAAAAAGGATACATTCCGAACTGACAAGCAGACATAACTCATGAGACTGAAGTCATGCCTTTCTCAAAATCTGCATTGTTCAAATCACCTAAAAGCTAACGCACTCACTGCCAGCATTCATAACAGACTGCAGAGTCTGCTACCTTTGGGGTATTTAAGAATCATCTGGAGACTATTAAAACTGTGGCCATCCAGGTCCCACGCAGACTTAACTGACCAAAATCTCTGGGTGAAAGACAATAAATAAATAAATAAGGCCAAACCATTTATAATTTAACAAGGTCCCAAAGTGACTCTGGTGACTTGCTTACTACAACTACTATGAGATTGTTATTACTATTAGCTCCCACCATGTATTACCTACTTAGTACATGCCAGTCGGCCTTCTCAGCACCTTACATATATTATCTTACTTAATCTTTGCAACAATCATGTAAGCTACTCTTAACACCACCCTCCACTCTCCCCTATTTGTTTATAGATGAAGACACTAAAACACAAAGAGATTATTTAACTGGCTCAAAGTCACAGGACTAGCATGTGGCAGGGCCAGAATGCTCAACAAAGTGTGAAATCACTGAAAGTTTCCTGACCTCAGAAAACAGCAGTATATTCTAATGAGGTCATATCAAAGTCTTCTGCTTTATTTTATGCATTGCGTTTAGAAAATAGAGTTGCCCTATTAAACAAGGAGGGGGGCAGGTCCTCAACATTTGTGACATCCTAGCTTCAATACCCAAAACCAAAAGGTGAACAAATAAACAAGCCAAGAGAGGACAAAGGCACTAGAACTGCTTGCATGCTTCCAAAATAACTGGCATCAAGTCAGGTTATGGTTGTCTCCCCTCCAGACTATGAGGCTCTGGAGTGCAGGGACCATCACTGCACATCTTCTCAACTGTACCTCTTGGTACCTCATGCCTAACTCAAAAGGATGTAGTAACTAACCTAATCAACAAATCAAGTGAACGCCTGATGACTGTCCTGGGCAACATAAAGGGCTGTGAAGTGGAGAAGAAACAGGCTTAGTTTATGCTGCTTCAGGGGAAATAAGGAATGTCAATAGGCAAAAGAGAGAGGGCTGGATTTTGGTATGATTTGAAACATTTCTGGCAACCAATGCCTGCCCAGGAACAGAGAAATATGCCCACAGTTTGAGGCTGAAGACCAGAATGTGGCAGACATAAGGTAGGATGATGGATGGACTGTATGGTCTCTGAGAGCTCTTCTAAAGCTCAAACCCTATTAGTCAACCATGTATTTCTTTATTCTTTCACACAATCAAGTTTTCACTAGTTGACCAAGTCATTTATAGACAACACAGGCCAACACAATGTGTTCTACAAACTCCCTGGGCCTCAAGGATCTTGAGAAGAGCAAATGCCCAGGAGTAAAGCTGAACCAGGAGGAATGTAATGGATATAATAGGAAATAGCAAGGAGAGAGGAGACTTCCAGGCCAGAGGCAATACAGAAGTCAGCAAAGGTGTTACGGAAGAAACTCCACCACTGAGCCAGATCTTTGGGACTCTGTGAGGGGAGGTAAAATGGAACCGCCCTAAGAATTTGGGGAGGAGGGTAGAGGACTAGAGGCTCATGCCTGTAGTAATTTTAGCTACCTAGGAGGCAGAGACCAAGAGGATCCAGTTCAAAGCCAGCCCAGGCAAGTCGTTTGTGAGACCCTATTTTGAAAAATACCCAACACAAAACAGGGCTGGCAGAGTGGCTGCCTCACAAATGTGAGGCCCCAAGTTCAAACCCCAGCACCACCAAAAAAAAAGAACTGGAGAAGGAAAATCATTTCATATAGCAGTAAACTGATCTAAGCATAAAGGAGACAGGAAAGCCCTGGGGAAACTACTAAAAACAATTAGTAAATTCTGGTGCTTTAGAGGTCAGTTAACCCAACACATACACATACATTTCATGGATGATTCCCTGCTGGCACACAGAAGAAGGTTTAGTTCATTTTTAAAAATTACATTTTAGAAATCAAAATCAAAAACTGTCATCTGTCAGGCATGGTGGTACAAGTCTGTAATCCCAGCACCTGGAAGGCCAAGGCAGGAGGATCATAAATTCCAGGCTAGCCTGGGCTACATAGTGAGACCTTGTCAAAAAAAAAAAAAACTGGGACTGGAGGTTTGGCCCAAGCAGTACAGCTCCTGTTTTGCAAGCATAAAGCCTAGAGCTCAAACCCCAGCCCAACCAAAAAAAAAAAAAAAGAAAAACTGTGAATTTTGCTTTTATTTTTAAGGTTAATACGTCCTTCTCTTACTTTCAAGGAATTATTTTAAATGACTCTGCTTTTAAATAAACATTTGTATAAGTACTGTCTACAATTTCCACTACTCAATTTGACAATCAGACTTGTAGTTATCATACCTAACAGTAATTAAAACTCAGATCTGAGTCTAATACCCTGACATGGTTATATTTACAACAGTGCTACAAAATAAAAATTATTATTATTTTAAAACTGATTTTAAGTAGATTAATAAGAAAAAAACGGGGTCTCAAACAATTAGATCTCAGATCCAGGAAATTATTTCACTCAACTTCTAAATTATGAACTGAGCTAGTCTCAAGAAAATAGAATTTGACAGGAGGTGAATCTAATTAAAATATATTGTAAACACAAATGTAAATGCCACAGTGTATCCCCCATGTACAACTATTATATACTAATTTTAAAAAACAGAATTAACAAAAGACTGAAGCAAAAAAAAAAAAAAAGATTCTAAATCTAAAGCAAAGTATCACACATTTGAATGAGAAGCTTAATGCTCTTCTGGCCAATCAGTTCTCACCATCCATGTAAACTATTTTAAGGAACTAAAATCTTGCTCTATAAAAAGCCAGATCCCATCAGCTGAACTACACTTAAGAGATTCTATCGCAGTAATTACTGAAGAATAACACACCAAGCTTTAGATTTTTGCTTGCTATCAGTACAAAAATGCTTACCTCTTTTACATGAATAACGTTGAATCTGTGGGTTAATTCAAAAGCCTGACACCGTAGGAGATCTAGGTTTTCGGTTCTAACACATATTTGTAACACAAACTTGGCAAAAACCTTTTGTGTATTCACACCAATTGTAACACCGAGATACAATATTTGACACCTACACTACTAACAAAGACTCTTCAGGAGTTTTGATTTTGGCTAACCTTAGCTGGGAGAATTAAAAGTTATGGCTGAAAACTACTCAATAAAAATGTAAAAACTTTAGGGGCTGAGAATGTAGCTTAGTACATGGAGTTTGCCTAGCATGTGCAAGGCTCTGGATTTGATCCACAACATTGAAAAAGAATTACATTTAAACTTAAAGATCTAAAATAGTGTTGCATTTTGACTCATAATAAACAATGACAAAGAAACTGAGATTTGAATAACTGCTACAAAGGTGCAATTAGATAGTTTTCAAAGATGAATAAGCAAACAGCTCACCAAAATTACGGTGGCTCACGCCTGTAATCCTAACTACACAGAAGGCAGAGATCAGGATGGCGGTGTGAAGCCAGCCAGGACAAATAGTTAACGAGACCGTATCTCAAAAACACCCATCACAAAAAAGGGCTCAAGTTGTAGGCCGAGTTCAGGCCCCAGGGCCGCAGACAAACAAACAAAAAAATTTAAATCTTTCTCTTCAAGAGCAGATAAATAATATTCAGTACTCTGGGGCACTGTGTTATTTTCCTTATCGTCATGGTCTCTACTTCAATGTTACTATTCCCCCACTCCCTTGATGAGCAAACGGAACCGAGTCTAGGATCCCTTCAAATCAAGAGCTCAGCAGACGTCACGAACAGTAACAGTAATAAAAAAATAATTTCTAAGGCCAGAACGGACACTGGACTGTGGCACCTGAATGTGGTGCAGGGTACATGCAGCATGCAAGTACTTCTGACTTCTGCCATCACTGCCTCCCAAAGGACTAGAGCATGCGACGCTCCGATTGCCACATCTACGAATTAAAGTCTTAGTGTTTAAAGAACTCACAGGTTCTCCGAATAGGACAGTATTTAAGAAACGAACCCCGCCATACAGAAATGCACCCGGATGCAACAAAACATGCTTTAAGGTTCTGCCTAATTACATATATATTTTGTTTAATTTTAGAAATAAACCCAACTCTTTTTTTTTAAATATTATGTAATAAGTTAAGACTCTGGGAAAAACCCCATACTCATCCGAGCGGCTGAGAAAATGGAAAGCAAGATTCGATTAGCTCCATTGTACCCAAACACGCTTAACGTGCAAGATCACACACTCATCTTCGCCAGAGCGTCTCTGCCAACACCAAAGAACAACAAAGGCAAGTTGAGGAGGCTGCACGGGCTGCACTCGGCGCGGGTCCGCTTTCGCAGCTGGGGAAGGAAGCGCGGAAGCCCCGGGGACCCCCGCCACACTCGGGTCCCGCCGGGCTGCCTCGGCTTTTGTCTGGCGGGGCTGGGAGCCCCGCCGCCCGCCCGCCTGCCTCCCCGGCACCCCTTCCCTCTGGATCCTTCTCCACACCCATCACTCGCCGAGGACTAGCTGTGGTGGGATTCTCGCTCGGCCCCCTCCCCTCGCAATCCGGGCTCCTTTCACAAGCGACCCGGGCGGCTTCGGTAGCTTTTCCCACCCGGCAAGAGAGACTCCGGTCAGGAAGGAGCCCGGGGTGGGGTCTGAGAGAGAGAGAGAGAGGGGCACACAAAGCCCGGCTGACCCCACAGCCGTCCCCCTCCCTCTGCAAAGCAGCCTGGGATCAGCGACCTACTGATTGGATAAACAACACTGGCACCCTGCTCCCACCCAAGGGCCGCCCCCTCCCCCAAAAGTGCACCCAAGAGCCGATGACAGCGCTGGACATCGCCCCCACCCAGACCCGGCGCCCGCCACCGCGGGGGAGGGGCGGGGGCCTCGGGACGACTCGGGATTAGACCTTCCCGTCCTAACCCGGTACTTACAGCCCTATTAGTCACTACTGTTGCTGCTGCGGACCGGACAGCCGCCGCCTTCTCCTCCACCCCAATGAGGTTAAGTGCTTGGTGCGGGGATTAAAAAAAAAAAAAAAAAAAAGCCGAGAAGCCGACAGCGCCTGCGCAGTGCGGTCTCCCTTATTCATCTTACCGCCACCAACCCGGCTGGGCCATAGAGACTGTAAACCGAGACCATAGAGAGGCAGAGAGGTGCCTGCCTCTCTATGGTAACGCCCCGCGCAGGCGCCGGGCCAGCTGCATTGGACTTCGGGAACTGGCTGCGCAGAGCGCCTTGTGCCGGCTTTGGGAATATTGACCCTGGCGGGGACCCGTAGGGTAAAGGTTCTTTAAGGAAAGGTGGCTAGGGTGTATTGTTAGACCCCTAGGGGAGCTGCTACAAAACTAGGATCTAAGCGGTCACGGCCACAAGGCACCACGAAGCGGGTATTGTGGTAGGAGGGCTAGAGAGGAGTCAGAAGAGCGTGGACAAAAGTCGTAAGACCGGAACTTCCTTTGGCCGGGGACCTAATACCTGAAGGAAAGGCTTTCACTTCTGGGTTACGGGCGCCCGCTCCCCACCGTGTGACTTCGACGGAGGAAACTGTGCCCTGCGACTTTCCGTAGCGAGCGGCGTCCGCGTTCCCTTACCTATCTGCGCAGGCGTTTGAGCCGGAAGCACAGTTTTTCAATGGCTCTGCCCCCCCACCCCCCACCCCCGTGGAGGCATCAGAGACCCAGAGTCGGCCTTTCTTGCTTGAGGCCTTCACAGATATTGCTGCCTCCCACTTTGCCTTCGGATGGCCTGTGAAAAAGAATTTTAGAGGATAGGGAGCTGTGCAAATTATACGGCTACCTTCAAGAATCCTGAAGGATTCATCGTTTTGTCGCGTCTAGTCTATGCACGCCGGTAATTTGACTTTGAAAGCTTTACTGAAGAGATACTTCGTGAAAGTCACACCTAGAGTGTGAGTCGGCTTCCCTCCGTCGCACTGGGTTTTATGGGGCACTTCTGCAGTGCGCTCCGTAACGCTGGGTGTGCCCGTGTGGGGATGGGGTGTAGAGCTATGGTCATGCGCTCCGATCCTCGGGGATTTAGTGATTGGAGAGGCCAAGGCAAAACCATAAAGCCATATGTAGGCCCCTCTGTGTATTGCAAGAAAAGCAGAGGACTGATTTTAAGGAGTAGGAATAACGAGGATGTCGCCCCTGGTCTGATCTGGGACGAAGCACAAGCAGCCTTTTGACAATGGATGGATGAAATGAAACACCATTCCAAAGAAGAAACACCAAGGTGAAGAGAGAGTGGGTGGTATGTCGGGAGGACAAGGAATGTGAACAGTTGTCTGCCTGAAAAGGAATTTAATTTAAAAAAAAAAGTGGAAAGTACGTTTGATAAGTAGAATGGGAAAGAAGTTTTTTTTAAAAAATGTTTTCTTAATTGCCAGTTTAGCCATTTTTTATTGCATGGTTCAGTACATTTACATTGTCGTGCAACCAATCTCCTGCATGCTTTTCATCTTGCAAAACAAGCTCTGCACTCATTAAGCAACAGTTCCCCTTCCCTCTACCCCCAGCCCTAGCAACCACCATTCGACTAGCTTCCTCGTGAAAGTGGAATCTAATAGTATTGGTGTTTTTGTGACTGACTTTTTCACATAGTTTAATGTCCTCAGGACATACCCATGGTGTGGTGTGTGTACGAATGTCCTTCCTTTTTCTTAGGCAGGCACTGTAGGACTTGAGCCAGGCCACCAGCTGTCCTTCCTTTTTAAGGCTGAGTATAGTCCATTGTGTATACCACTTAGGTTACTTCCCCGTTTTTGCTGCTGTGTGTAATGCTGCTGTGCGCGTGGGTGTACGTTATTTCTTGAAGGCACTGCATTAATGCTATGGGAAAGGTTTAGAAACCAAGTGGAGAAAGCTATACATGATACATACTTCCAAGTCCTTGAGAAGGGGCAGTAACAGTGAAAAGGCTGTTTTTGCTATGTTTGCAGTGCTAGGGATGGAACCTAGAGCTTCACATGTTCTAAACAAGTGCTCTACCACTGAGCCACACCCCCAGCCTCAAGAACTGTTTTAGAAAGTTACCCTTCTCTGCAGCTTAGACTATATTCTACTTATGTAAAGCCTTTATGGAGACCTTTACATATGCAGGCATTGAATCCATAAAAATGCATGTGAGCCAATTGTTAGTCACCCCAATTTGCAGGTGAGAACGTCAAGATTCTGTTACAAATAGGCTGAGGAGAGGTTCCCCAACCATGCATACACACAAATGACTAGGAGAAGAAAAGCTTTCATAGGAGCTAGGCACCCACAGGCAGTGAAAGTTCACTGCTTGGACAAGAATATTAAAAGAAAAAATAGCAATGTAAGTGACTTTTTTTTCAGCACTACAGATCAGAGCCTTGCTAGGTAAGCAGGTGAGGGATGGCAGAATGGCTTAAGTGGTAAGCACTCTACCATTGAGCTACATTTCCAGCTGCTAGGAGTGACTTTTCTCAGGAGAAAAAATAGGCTGACATCAAAAGCTTTCATTGTTAAATTACTGGCATTTATAAAGGCTCACTATGGCAAAATCTGTTTTCCAAATTCCCTAAAAAAAAAAAAAAATCCTGGGTTTGACTACAAATATAAAGTGTCAGGTAGGAATATTTCTTTATGTAATAGAGAATAAGAAATGTTCTTTCCTACTCAGCACTATATCTTTTATATTACATTCTCCAAAGTACTATGAAATTTTTTGGCAGATGAGGAAACAGAGCCAAAAAGGAAAACTTCCTTGTCCAGTGTCAGATGACTGAATAGTACCACACCTTTGACTGGAACTGAGCCTCCAGAATTCCTACTCTGCTTTGATTCCCCCTTTGAGAGGTGGATGCTGTAGTGTGAGTGAATGGACAATGTTTCTATTCAGTCAGTCTCATCTTCCTTAGGAATGCATGCCCAAACTCCAATGAAGTCAGTATTAACAGGTAGGCAGAGAATATCAGTGCAATCCAAACAGCGTTCATACTTTCAAAAATATTGTTCATACTTTGCCAAATACTTACCAAAGCAGGGGAAAATCCCTGACCTCACTGAGGAACTATTTTAAAAAGAAGTGAAGAAAAGACCAGGTACAGTGGCTCACACCTGTAATCCCATCTACTCATTCGGCAGAGATCGGGAGGATCGTGGTTCTAGACAAACCAAAACTAAAACATAAATGGTTTGGGGCATGGTTCAAGTGGTAGAATGCTTATGAGGCCCTGAATTCAAACTCCAATACTGCCAAAAAGAAAAGTAATAAGTAAAAAATATAATATGACAAGTAAGTGTTGCAAGAAAAAAAATGAAGCAATAAGAATAGGGTAGGAAAAGAGGTTTTTGTTTAAATGGACCAGAGAGACCCCACTGATCTTTGTACCAAGGTCTGAGGGAGCATTGTGGGGAGAGGGGAGAGCATTCAGGGAAAAAGAATAGCAGTGCAGAAATTGTTCTGAAGCAAGCAGAAGGGTGCCTACTATATTCTGAGAACAGAAAGGAGGCCAGACTGACAGAAACAGAGTACAGGAGGGTAAAAGGAAGTGAGGTCAAAAAGGTAAAAGGAGGCAAATTGTGCAGGGACGCTCAGGCCATTGTAAGGACTTGGGCTTTCGCACTGAGATGGGAAGCCGTTAGGTTTGGACCAGAGAAATAACATCTTTTGAGTTGCTAGGGATTGAACCCAGGGCCACATGCATGCTGAGCATACACTCCACTATTGAGCTCCAACCCTAGTCTCCTAACTTAAATTCTTGAGGAATCATTTTGGCTCCTGTCTTGAAAGATTATTGAGGAGCAAGGGGGACTACTTAATAAGCTACTGCAGGAGTCTAGGTGAGAGACAGTGTGGACTTGGGAAAAGTGCAGTGGTGTAGGGATGAGGTGTCAGGTATATTCAGACAAGGTGGCACAGAGGATTCGATTGCAAGTTCACTGAGAAGAGAAATGAAAGGAGCCCAAGGTGACTCCAAGATTCTGGCCTGAGCAATCTGAAAAATGGAGTTGCCATTTACTGAAATGGGAAGAAAAGCAGGATGGAGATGGGAGGAGATCAAAAATTCAGTTTGGGATGGGTTAAGTCTGAGGAACCTAGTAGAGTGCCACATGGAAATATCAAGAAGGTAATTAGATACAGAAGTCTATAATCTGAAGGTCCAACCAGAGATGTAAAGTTCAGAGACTTCACTATGTAGACAGTACTTTTAAGTCATAAAGTGTCTAGATGTTAAGTATAACAGAAATTTGAAGAAGATATCAAAGCCACTGAAATAAGAGAGATTCAAGAAAGGAACTCCAGTCGGGGAAGGAATGGTGTTCAAGGCAGAGTAGCCACATCAATTGTTGACGGGCTGTAATTAACTGCCACGTGTAGCATTGGCATAGGGAAGATAGAAACCAGGCTGAAATGGGTTCCTGAATGAGTGATAGGAACAAAATTGAAAAGAGAGAAGATAGATCATTTGGGGGGGGAATGTTTGGGGGCACAAATGTGATACTTCAAGGGATAGGTGGTATTAAGTTAAACTATTTCATCCGCAAATATTTTAATCTTTCTAAGAGACGAATTCTTTAAAATCTGCTTTTGAGTAAGTTTCCTCCTAATTGGATTAAGTTCTTAACCGAGTTTGAATCAGAGCTCTCCATTTCCAAAACTGTACACATGTTAATACTAAGCTAGGTCATTTGTGTTATTTTATTCCCTAGTTTTTTCACTTCCCTTGTATAAGTCTCTGGTCATTTGTGATTAAGGATGTAAATATTTTTTCTTACATTGCAAATGAAGTAATGTGTTTTCTTTTTACTGTGGTGCTTTTTTTGGTTGTACATAAATTATGTATTAAAATATAGTCATGTTCTGTTTAAAAAAATAGATGAGTTCTTTTTTTAATAAATGTAACCTCAATTCCACTATCACTGAAATGTTAATATTTCCATAATAGCTACAATCTTCCCTTAGTACCCACAGGGATTTGGTTCCAGGACCCCCTACAGATACCGAAATGTACAAATACTCAAGTTCCTTAAATAAAAAGATCTATATGGTACTTGCATGTAACCTCCAAACAACCTCCCATGTACTGTAAATCATTTCTATATCACTTATAACACCTAATGCAATGTAAATCGTTGTTATACTATGTTGTTTAGGGAATAGTGATGAAAAATGTCTATACATGCTTAGTATAGATGTATATTTTGTTAAGTACTATGAAACTTT